ATTACTATGAAAACAGTTGCAATGTCTACAAAAAATCCTTTATCAGATGATGACCCTAAGATCAGACATGGTTTTGAAACTGAAGTTTCCCTCACTAAACCATTGGGATCCATCAGTATCTCACAATATCATCAGATTTTGTTGATTTTCCATCACAGTTTAAGAATGTCAGATCCATGTAGATGCAGCTTCTGACTGGACTCTCCAAGTATATTCCATCCTTCCTGTTAATGACAATCTTAGTTTAGTCATGTATGGCAATATAACCTCAATGTCCAATTTCAATAGTAAATATATTCGTTTTTCAGCTATTTCTTACACATAGATCTTCATACTTCATTCAAAAGGAACTGTTAATTTAATAATGTAATCTTCATTTTAATTAACTGATCAAATCACATGATCAGAATGGTATTCAGTGACCTAATCTGTAAAGGCATGATGACATTACAATTCTACTGTATCATTTCTGTCCTTGCAAATATCAAACAATTATGAGTTGTACTTTTTGACCAAAGTAGCTCTCTGGAATTTTTCCTTCTCTTATACAATTTACTTGGGTTTGCAAAATTTTATTGACAACTTTGCAACATCTTTTTTAAGCTTTGACAAGGACCTCTAGCAATCTGGTTGTGTTTCTACTTGCAACTTTTCAAAGAATACTTACAATTGGTAAGGAGATGTTTGAAACTATTAGTCTTCCCACACTAATCAGATATTACTGGCTTTCATAGAATGAATGGCATTGATAGGATGTTGTGTACTGCCTTCATTCTTCTCCTATGTGCTGTATACCTTCAGGATATGGGTGTTAATGGCTCTCCACAATTTCCTATCCTTTGTAGCTCTTAGTAAGTTTTGTCTTTTTGTTATCCATCCTAATCCTTGTTCTGCTAACTATCTACTATCTACACAAGCTTGTTAGGTAGGAAAGCAGTGTCCCACTTTACTGTGGGTATCAAATCCTATAAACCCTCTTTACTCATTATGTGCTTTAGAAATTTGCAACTGTCTCTTTCTGATTCTAAGGATAAAAACATTTTTGCTTCCATTTTCCTTAAAACTTCCTTGTTACTCACATGTTCAGTCCATGGTATCTTCAGCATTCTTCTGCAGAACCACATTTCTGTTGCTTCAATTCTCTTCTTCATCTGTGAGGAGATTATCCAGCATTCATTATATATAGGAGGACTGATATTACATAACATTCTTTTCTTTGTTTCGTATGAAACTTTCCTGTTTCTTAATACTTTGCTTAACTTTTGGAAGGCATCTTTCACTATTTCAATGCACCTTTGGATTTCAGTGTCACATTTTCCATCCTCTGTTAAAACACTTTCTATATATATAAATTTTTGTACTTGTTTGATTTTGGTATCTCCAATTTGTTGTTCATATCTTAGGTTGTTCTTTTTGCTGACCACCATATATTTTGTCATCTTACAATTGATAGGAAACTAATTCTCTTTATGTTCATCTGCATGATGTTGCCCAATATAGTAAATTGTCTTCTTTTGTTGTTTGTATTATATGACTTAAAATATTCAGTCAATGTAACAAGACATAAATTCCCTCTGTCACAATATTTTTCTATCTAGATTTCTTCAACCAACAATTCTGTAGAAATTAACCCACACTAGTTCTGTCAACTGCCACAGTACCAGCTCCTACCTTCATTATATTTCTATTCATTTACAACACAGGTGGGTGCTTTTCACAAGTGAGTGTCAAGAGTCATGCTGTATTTGATTGTGTTTTGACTTCATATGCTTCAACAAGTGATTTTGGTAGTAGCTTCTGTTTTCATATAAGCTGCATGACACTACATTTGTTAAGAAGATAGATGCTCCTAACCATTTTTAGATATGTACTGATTAAACACTCTATTACTTCAACTTTTATAAATGATATTTGAAATACCTGTAATGATTATGATATTTTGGGGATTAAGCCAAAATACCCACACCATAATTTATCTTTGGCACTGAAGTCATATTTATCAAATATATATCTGGTTAGATTTAATGCACTTATCTTTTTATTATTTCATTACTTTTTGATATCACTAAGATTAATCAATATCAACAAATGGGTTATTTGTTTATTGAAATTTCTATTTCACACCAGGTGATAAGCAATACACTCTTCTCAAATTCGGTAGTTGAACATTGTTAGGCTATATGATTATTTATGATAACAGAAATTATAGTGAGGAGAATGTGGTAGAAACCAACCAATATGTTTTATAATAAAATCTCAGCTTGAAAAAATAACAAATAGAAAATAATAATTGTTTTTCCCTATTGCATTTCTGAAAGTTTTGAAGAAAGTTTTTTCTTTAAGATCAGAGAAAAAGGAAAAAAAAAGAATGCTGCTCCTCTAAGCAACAAAGTAGCTCATATACATTTATGACCTTTTCATGAAATTAACCTTCATTACACTGTATGTGACTTCATTTGCTGTACAAAAAGTTTATCCGGCCACTGAAGGTGACTCTGATCCCTGAACAATAGTGTGTTTCAATTTCATAATTCTCTGGTAACAGAAAACAACTTTGAGTAAAATTAACAATAAGGTTACTGCAATTGAAAGGCCTTGAAAAAGAATAAAGTGGGAAGGGAAGTAATATTAATAATGCAGTGTGCTAAAGGTTAATGTTCCTTTATATTCCAAAAACAAGAAAATAATTTCACAGAAGCAATTTTTTTAATATTTACTTAAAAAATAATACTTTACTTAATACAGATTATTTTTACATTTCTTAAGTTTTTAAATCTCTCTCAGTCACACATGCCTTCTTTTTTCTATTTCATGACTTATTTACTTATATTAAATTATAAATAATTGTAATACTTTTTATGGTTTTCTTTTATAAATGTTAGAATATTGTAAATACAGTAATATTTCTTTTCTCAAATTTTATTAGGTCAACTATATAATAGAACAAATTGTGAAAGTATTCAAGTTGTTTTTTTAGAAAATCTATGATGATTTATTGAAATCTTGTGTTCTTAAAAGTTTTAACTGAAACAAATACAGATTAAAGAATATTCTACTTCAGGAATTTTATGCCATATTATTTAGGGTCAGAGTTTTTTTTTTTCATGGCTATGTTTCTGTTTCAGTTATTCTCAAGATTACTAATATATTCAGGAATTTGTTTTTTAAACTTTCAGACACACCCAACCGAAGTCATAAATCTACTTACTGCCGTATTTTAATTATTTGTTTTGTAAATTCATCCTAAATCATGAAAAGGAATTCAGAAAGCATTATATAGCTTGACACAGGTTATAATAAGTAAACAAAGAAAATATAGAATTTTTTCTTTTTTTACCATAAATGATTTGGTGCATTTTGCTATGCAATTTATTCAACTATTTAGATATTACTACACATCATCTAAAAATTTTACTTCTTATTTAAAAAACCTTGACAAGCAGAAATATTTCTTTTTATATTCTTCTTCAAGTTATATCAATTCTTGGGTTGAAATATTTATATATCAATGAATTTCTATAAATAAAGCAGTTTCATTTTGCTTAATGTATTTATTTACAATGGGAGCTCTAACAATCATGACAAAAACAATTTATATTTTCATGACATCTAATTTTTTTGCAAAGAAATAAGCTTTATTACTGTTTATAATATCTACAAATAAACGTGGCAAATAATTTAACTATCAAAATGTTTGGTAAATATTGTAAAACTATTCATAAAAAAGAAAAATCACAAAAAAACACTGCACAAATAAATACACAGATATTTCTACTAGATTTTTAGAGTAATCCTACTTATAAGTAATCCTTTTTATTTTAGGCAATGTGGTATTGAAAAAAATAACAATATTTTCTGATTTTTATTGTTTTAAAAGATAGATGAGTGTATATTTTAAAAAAATCTTTGTACATGTAATCCATCCTCATAACTTTCTACTCTTCAAAATAACTTTATGCTTGTGAATATCTTCATGTCCAATGGAGGTGTAATAAAAATTTATATCATTTTCACCTTTTATTTAATTACATATCAGTGTTTGAGAAATTAGTGTATTTTTTATATGCAAAATTGAAGTACATTTTTATTTCAAAACAATCACTGATTTTTCTTGAAAAATTAATACTTTCATTTTTTCCAATTTTTTTTAATATGAATTTTTTAAAAATATAAACAACTATAAATTTTTATTACTCATAGCATATTATTATTCTTTACTTATTTCTTAATCTGCCTACATTAAAAAAACTCAAGTTCATTGGAGTCAGTATAATGGTAACTTTGATTTAATGTATTTCCTAACATGGGATTGGTTTCTATATCTCTTCTGTCTCTTGATACCACAAAATTCAAAAAATTTTCTTCAAAAATATCTGATATATATATATATATATATATATATATATATATATATATATATATATATATATATATATATGTGTGAATGTATATAAGTCTGTATTGTCTGTTAGACTTTGTAAGCAGAGAAGCTAAAGTCTTTATCAAAACCACCAGTTCACTGCCATTTAATATGGCCAGTGGGACTGATAGGGACCTAACTATTTCACAGGAGACTTGTGTGTCTTCCTCTAACTTAACTACCCATTCCCTCTGGAGAAGTCTCGGTCACAAAAGAATCTTTTCACATTTATTCAAACACTCTCATTTCTATGTATGTCATTCACTTATAGAAATATTTGTAGATAAGCATCCAGAGAGAAACATGCATTTTTGGTAAGCAGCTGAAAATTATTGCTGTTGTTTTTATCACCCATCAGGTAAGGTGCTTGCTAATGACTGAAAACTCGTGTTGGGTTAACCATTACTTCAGAGGATCAATAGTTCCCCCTCCCATCATCACCACCATCATCATCAACATCATAGATTAACACTTTTTAAATTGATCACTGTCTATCCACTCCTTATCTCAGATGTTCAACCCATCCACCAACCCTTTCCACCTGCTCATTGAATAACTGTTCCTTCTTTTTCATTCTTAGCTTCACTTTTTTTCGCACTCTTCCCCACATCTTACTCCTCAAGAAGCCAGTGACGACCAACATCAACAAGTGAGCAAATTATACTATATATCATGCTTAAATCTTACTAACAGTAATATTATTGACTATTACATTACTAATGATTCTTTATAGCTTTTGGCATTTGCTCATTCTGTTATTATGCATCTATATACTCACAATATTGTACAATACTATTTTTTAACTGTAAAAAAATGTATACATTCATTATTACTACATCCCTTTGTTTTCCCTGATCAGTATTTTTTGACTGTTTTACTCTTTTACTTGCTTAATGTATAATATGACAGCCATGCTTCATTATGTTACATATGTAGATTAAAAAAATAAACTTTGCTTTATAGTACTTATATATTGATACTTATTAGAAAAATTGTACAAACAAAAAGAATTCTATCATAAAAGGAGGTACTGAAAAGTACAGTCTAACCCACTTCCTAAAAATTAGTATTCAGAAATACTAATTTTGAGAAGTAGGCTGAACCAAGATCTTTTCAGCTTTCCCTCATAAAATGTACAGAAAAAAAAGGGAAACATTAATTTTTGATAAATGTGATTTATTTTTATTATTTGTAATCAGAATATTTGTTTTAACCTATAATATTTTTATCATGTAATATAAAACTGAAATATCTTTTTAGGTTATAGAAAATATTTTTACCTTTTTACATAAATTAAGCATTAATGTTAAAATCAAATTGTTCCGAAATGTTTAACTTTCATTCAAAAAATTAGAATAAAAATTAACTTGAAAACTGTTGTACTTTATGTGAGTTAAATGCTTTTCTGTTCTCTTTACCACCATCTCCAATCACAATGCTTCGTCTCATTAACAAACTTTCACTGAATCCATATGGCATGTATAATTATAATTTGTTTACAAAAAATATAAACATGGAAAAATCATTCTCAAAAAATTTCTTTCCTTCTGTCTGCTTATTGGCCTCTCTCTCTCTCTCTCTCTCTCTCTCTCTCTCTCTCTCTCTCTCTCTCTGTATACACACACACACACATGTATGTATATGTATGTATGTATGTATGTATGTATGTATGTATGTATGTATGTATGTCTCTCTCTTTCTCTCTGACTGCCTCTATATGTTGTTTTACTGATTCTTTCTGTTTTTATCTTAAGTGTTGTTTAACATGTTAAGATGGATGCTATGGTTCGTAGTTTGTTGTTTTTTTTTTGTTTATTTCTCTTCATTTTTTATACACCAAAATTATTAGTTTTCTTAAATGCTTACATGTTAATTTCTTTAAAATAATCTTGTAAAAATTATTTTTATTTTATAATCCGTCACTCAAACTTGTAATATTTACTCAAAATTTAATTTAGTAAATCAATTCAGATTAAACTTGCATACAAAATATACTTGTATATGCTGATAAACAGGTAAGTGTAATATCTTATAGGGATTCTGTTAATATACAGACATACAAAATTGAACTTTAATATACTAGTTAATATCTTTTGCCTGTTGAATGTTTGTGGGTGCATGTAATAGAGAAAAAATAACATCTGAAATGTTCTTAATTTTTACTGAGCACATTTACATAGCTTCCAATTGAAAGACCTAAGTCATTTTTATACAAAATGAAACAGATATCTTTTATATATCATCTATACAAACACTGATTGTTCAGCTGTTATTGAATGGAGAGTTAATTTGAACACTGACAACTTTCTTTAAAAAATGTAGAACAGTAATATTGTGTATCTTTTATACATTTTCTATCTTTCTTTATTTCTTTCTTTCTCCTTATTCTCTCATATCTACAGACTAAACAACTTTGCATCTACAAATACACTATTAGTATATATGCTTACACATATATACAAATGTGTGCGCGCGAGTGTGTGTGTGCATGAAATCGAGTATACTGGAACACATGGTTAATTTAAAACAGGTCAGCATTACTAATTTCAGCAGGAACTGCAATTTTCAAAGAGGGTAAGATAAAGGCAACCTACTTCCCATACCACATGGTTATCATGTAAACTCCACCTTTCATTGGTTTATATTTGCAACATCTGGACCTTATGGTAATGCTGCAGATCATTTGGTCTTAACCTTTCTCTCACCTTGTTCCCCTCTTGTATATCAGAAACAGTAGTTAATAGTTATCTACTCCTAATATCTCCTCATAATTACACAGGATGCTAAATAATAACAATACTTTTCAGCTTCCTGATGAAAAGTTCTGTCTAGTCTGACATTATTTTCTAAACTTGTCACATCCATCTACTAAGTGGACTTATAGACCAACAAATTTGCGCTGTGCATTTTTATAAAAGCTTATGTATTCTCACCAAGTTATTCCTTGTGCACACCCAGTAATTATTGCACTGTTTACCTATTTACAAATATTTAACCTGGTATTATATTGTATATAATTATGTAGTAAATGTATTGTATTTGCAAACACATTGTGACCCCCTTGTATCCATATTGTATCCCTCACACATCTTGCACAAATTATTTAATCACATATTTATATTACTATGAATTTTAAAGTTTTTCTTCTTACAATGAAACTATTTTATTAAAGATATACATCCATTTTAAATGTCCATGTCTTCCTGTCATAATTGTGCATTAGTTAATATAGTATTCATTTCTGAACAATGTTTTTTCTTCCCAAATTAGATTTTCAGTTATTTAAACATTAAAAATGACATTGTGATTTACTATCTTTGTTAAAGTATTTTCCTTTTTTGTTTTGCTGCAGGTTTTCAACAAGGTTTCCAGCTATGCAAGTCTACAGTTGGGAGCCTCTTCTGACTCTGCAGTATCTACTGGTGTAAGCGTAAGTATCAACATTTTGGCTTTTGCATCTTTTCTATATAATTGGATACATTTTTTAAAATTCTTTATTTCATACTAGAAATTCAATTTAAATCCTGTAACCTTCAAATCTAATGAAGCCACAAACAATCAATAATTCACTCTTTTTAACTTTGATCCTAAAAACGATTTGAAAAAAAATAATTCTGTTTCTTACAAATTTTGTGGAAATATTAATGACAATATGCCCTTATCATTACACTAAAGTGATTTCAAGATTTTTTTATTTTCTTTTGGAAAAGGAAAAATAACATAAGTTCCCAAATGTATTTGTTGGTCAATTAGTCCCTGCCTCTAAAGATATGATGTGGTCAGTCAGAAATTTAAAATCTATCAGTTTATCACTCACATGTTTTTATGGTATGGATTAATCTAATTACTTGTAATAAAGCAGGTAAAATGCTTATTTATACATTCCGTTAAGAATATATAAAAAATACCAATAATATTTATGTTTATTGTATATAGTTTGCTTCATCATTCATAAATTTTTCTTTTTCTTTCTATTTTCTTATCTATAAAGTATGCTGACAAACCATTTGCATTTTAAGGTGCTTTCAAGAAACACAACTAACTTAGAATTACATCCATTAAATTTACATTATTCTTTGCATGAAAAATATTCTTAACAAAAGTAAAATGATATTTTCTTGTGTTTAATCTACCCTGGTGGAAATAATGTCAGCACCATATTTGTATGGACACACATATGAAAGTCAATGTACAAAAATTCTGCACTATGAAAAAATCCAGAAAAAATAAAATCTGTTTTACTCATTCCCAAAATTGTTTATCTCCAACGGCTATTAGGTTTAGCACATTTTTAAAAGTGTATTGATTTCTGATGGCCTATCCAAAGCATTTTGTATACTTACTTTGTTAAATATATGCATTTAATAAACATTCTACCAGTTTATCTGTTGTTTTAATAATATCTTTCAAATACAATTGTCTGCCTAGCTATAAGAAAATCAGTGTCAAGTAATGTGGACAATCAAAAATGTATCCTTTTCTTTCATGGAAACTCTTAATTTTAAGAATTCCTATAAAAGTAACAGATGAATTTTGGTGCTATCCATATTTATTTTAGCATTTTACTATTAATGTAACTGATAAAAATTATTTTAAAATAAAAAGATCCAATTAATTTTATTTCAGTAATGTAATAAAATATATGTACATAATTTATCAGCTCAATATGGAGAATTATAAATATAAAATGGCAATTGATATTGCTTTTTTAAACTAACCACCTCAGAACAATGCTAATAATAAACGGTTATTTATTAAATGATTAAATATTGTTGAAAATGATAGTCATGAGAAAATATAGCATTGGTGAGGAAAATTTGCATTCATTGTTTAAAGTTTATAGTTTGGATTTTTAATTCTATATTATCAAATTATTTTTTATTGAAATATTCCTAAAGAGAATTTAGATCATTTTATTTCATGAAAGATATCTATAATAATCAAATTTTTAAAAGTTATCTGAAATTCATTGATAATGTTCAATGTGCAAACATTTATAAATTTACTCTTTACAATGTTTAACAACATTTCACTTTAAGATTCTGATAAACTTAATAATTAAAATATTTACTTTTCTTTTAAATAGCATGACAAAAATGTCTGTGCATATTTCTGAGATGAGGGATTGTAATTATTTACACTTTTTACATTGTTTGGACTGTTGTCCTCATCTTTGTTGTTTCAGCCATTGTATGCTCTGGCCTTCTTCAGGTGATTGGAATTTCAAACTGAACCCTTTATTTCATCCACTGGAGTAGATTGTTTTAGTTCTAGTTCCACGTGTCATGCCTCTTCCAGATGTCTCAATATCAGCTATATCCCTTTAACTCTCCAAGCTTTTTTTTGTTCACCTCTGCTGTAACCAGGGATTATTGGAAAAAATACAAAAGATCAGTGGTCCATATAACATCAGGACAACTTTCAAAAGTGGTTCATCATTTCACAGACACCTCTTCTGAGTAAGACCCTCCCATAGAGGAGAACATGATTAAGGACTGTGTGTGTGTCATCCCATGCACTTGTGGTTAGAAATATAAAGGAGAAACAGGTTGCCCCCTCAAAATAAGACTGCAGGGACACCATAAAGCCGTAACACAAGGGGAAATAGAAAGATCAGATATAGCTAACCATATATGGAGGGAAAAGGGAGATCACCACTCCCTGTGGGATGAGATTAAAATAATAGACAGAGAACATCACTGGAAAATACAAAAACTTAAGCAATCAGTACATATACCACAAAAATCTCCTAAGCCAGCCAAGAATAAAAATGAGTACAATAAGGGAATGAGTAATATGGAGTGCTAGAGAAAAACGATAATAACAAAAATTGTAATATGAGCTTTGGTGAAAAATGATTACTGTGATATTAGGTTTATAAGTTCCAAAAATTCATACACCGATGTCCTCAAGGACACATGGCCCAATAAATAAAAGCATTGATTGACCCAAAGAGTTGTGAGTTCAATACCTGGCTATAGAAGGGATTGTGTTAAAAAGAGAGATACTAAGATGAGATAAAGGGTTTAGTTCAAAATTCCAATCACCTGAAGAAGGCCAGAGTATACAAGGGCTGAAATATCATGAGGACAGCAGTCTGAACAATATAAATAATGACAAAAATATCCATTTTAGAAAAGAAGCTTTTTATTATGAAATGAATATGAGATTATCCCTGAAAATTTTTTATTCTTTGTATTTCTCTCATATGGTAAAAGAAAAAAAAGAAATTGAATGTGTATTACAAGCCTCTGCATTCATTTTCTCATTTCTTCTTTTAAAATGATTTGGAACAATCAGCCCAAGTTCTTAATAGAGTCTGGGAAAAATTTGGTAAAAACAATTTTGGTCTGTGATTACCATGGAAATATGTGATTAATATTCAAATATACTGGATAGAAAACATTTTCTGGTAAATATAATGGTGTATTTATAACTTGAACAGGTAGAGCCATTTCTGTTCAAGATGATAACACAGGTGAACATTTTGAAGAATTAATTATTTTACAGTGTATTTTAGGGGAGTTATAACTCTGAATAAATAATTATAACCCCCCCCCCTAACATATTTATACAGGGTGCAATAGATAAAATGCAGTCTAAATTACCCAAAAATGAAAATAACAGTGACATCTCAAATTAACAGACATATTTACCAAAATTACACCTTGAATTATATCTTGAAATGCTAAAGAGTAAATTTATTCAATATAATCACCACTGGCTTCAACCATGGCCTCCAGACAACTTCAGAATTTCCTGCAACTCTTTAGACAGTCTCTTTGTTTAAGTTGGTGAATACTGCCATAATCCTTGTCTTCAGTTCATCTTTGGTGTTACAAGGAGTTTTGTTGGTCTCTCACTCAACTTCACCCCACACATAATCAAGGGGGTTGCAATCTGGGAAGTTAGGTGGCCAGATGTAAAGGGTGATGTAGTCGCAGAAATTGTCTGACAGCCATGACTGGGTTCTCCTGATTGTGTGGCATGGTGCAGAGTCCTATTGCCAGACATAGAATCTTCCAGCAGCCACTACCTTAACCCAGGGTAGCGCTACCTCCTCAAGGCACTTCATGTAGTGTTGAGTCTGAGGCCCTCACCAACAAATTCAGGAGTTCTTTTCTTATCAGAATAATCAGAGTGTGTTTTCTGAGCTGCTGTACCTTTGTAATCACTATTAGACTCATCCAGTTCTTTACAAATGCTCTGCACTGTCCTCAAATTGAAAATGTTCATTTTGGAGCTTCCTGTGTAAATGTCAATCAGTAGAGCATGCTATTTCCAAATTTCTGGTGGAGTGAATTGTGTCATGGAGCACATTTCTGACCCTACTGTACTGTGCAGTCAACAAAATCAAAAGCAAACAATGTACATGCATGAAATAAAAAATACAAAATGATGACAATTTACCTATTGTACCCTGTATATACAAAAAATGCATATTATATATTATCTGGTTGTTATGTGGTGTTAGAGAAACAAGAAACAGTAACACTGTGTCAAATTGTGAGTTTGGAGTCAAATGTAAATGAAATATGTCTTGGAATCCAATAGAATGATACAATCTTTTTTTCTTAATTTTTTTTATGGATGTGTGTAATGAGTGTCCAGATAATTTAGTTAGAAAATACAATAACTGTCTAAGGTTTTCTTACCTCAAATTTTGTTGTTCTAAAAAGTAAATGTTACTATTATGGCTTGAAAAGGAGATGAAATTTTCATTGATGCATATATTAATGACCTCTCTGTAGAAACTACTTGTCTGATAGTGAAAATGTCACGTGTTTGCATGTGTAAAGGAGAAAAATTGTGTAAATTCTCATTGGTTTAGAATGAGTGAATTAACAATAATTATAATTGTTATAATTACTTTTCACACTATAATTAATTTTTATTTATTATTTTATGGACACGACACTGTGACAGTATAATTAATTTTTTATTTATGTATTTCTTTATGGATACGACAGTATTTTGTTTCTCTTTATATTATGAATGTATTGTCTTTAACCATTATTTATGATGATTACATGTGCTTAATAAAATCTATAAGAATTCAAATTCTAAAATAGCAAATCTTTCCTAGACAGGTTTAATCTTTTTGAATTTTAGGCTTCTTTGATAACAATAGCAAAATTACACTCATTGCTGCAAAATCTTATATATAATCTCTTTACCAGAGTTTTCATTATATTTTTCAAAGATAGAAATATAAGTACCAATAACAAGTTAATTTGCTTTGTTAATCTCCAAAGTTGTGTTTGGAAGTCTTGCCATTGTTTTTGTCTAATCTCCTAATGATGAACACAGCTATCAAGCAAACTATTCTGAAATTTCAACTAAAAGTACAAACGTCAACTTAGATTAAACAGATCTATACAATATTTTTTTGCAATATAATTAGTGCAAATAATAACATATTTACTATAC